AATTAACACCATCCAATCAAGACACAGTTAAGATACTCAAAAAGGCAGTATGAGTAGCTGGAAACCTTGGTCCTCTGGTTGTTTTGTATAACACATTGATTATAGATTTCTCCCACTTATGATAAAAATCAGCAAACAAACAAACATTAATGTTAACAATTCATACTGCAGATTTCTTAAATGTTTTGTATCGAGTGTGAATAGCATTGACTTTAGCACAATGTCTTTATGCCCGTCTCCCAAAGAGGTACATGGGAATTTTAAGCACATAGAGACTAATCTGGGCCCAGAATAGAGTAGATCGTTTGTAAACAGCTTCTCATCTCTCCTGCATGATGGCTCCACGAATTGAGTGCACTTGCAGTAATCAAAATGGCTGACCGTATACACTGCCAAGTTCATTCCAGAAAAAAGGGATCTACCACAAATTACTTCCATTAAACAAAAAGACTGGTGGGGAAGTCAACTGGACACAAACACAAAGCATTCGCCACTCCCATGCGTACATGTACTTCAGCATTAGAAGCATCCTTTGCTGCTGACTTCACACGTACACATGGGTGCACGCAGGGCAGTGAAGTTGGCAGTCCCTAACTGGTGGATGCTAGAATGGGTTACAGACACCTTTCATGCTGTTATAACGGTCATGGCAGATTATCCATCAGTTATTGACTCCACTCTCCGCGCTAAAGTGCTTGCTCTTCTGTAATCAACTGGGACCTAAACTAGTTTAGACTATTTTTCCTTTACCTAAGGATCTGCAAGTGGATGAGAGAACCCTGGTAAGTCTCCTCCAAGCCCTTAAATAAACAGTGGGCAGCTGTCTAATACTGAGACACTTTCCAGCTGCACCAGAAAGACAGCAGGAGCTCTGAAATATAGATATTATAAGCAGGAAGAGAGGAGGGAATAAAAGATTGGACAAGACTGTGCTAAGTCTTTGAATTTTGTTCTGCAAACACTATGAAAAAGCACTGTGTAACTCTGAACAAATAAAAATGCACCCAAGTATGTATACCTTGACATTTAAAAACACCCGTTAGCCTGTTGTGACTACAAAACCTTAGCTACAGAATATATTTACAGATAATTTCTCATGTTTGTTCCTGGCAAGGGATGTTAAGCCCAATTCTTCACTGAAGATATAAACGTGACCTAATTTAAATCAGGTCAGTGGGAGTTTAAAACAGGTACCACATGAGCACCTCCCAGGGACTTAAGCAGAAGCAGGTAGCAGCCCACTGCTACAGAATCCAGCTACTGCAAAATGTGAACTTTTACAAATTCAGCACATTAGTGTTTTGTTTTTGGGTTTTTTTTTTTTTTTTAACATGCATATGTCACAGATTCTAGGGAAGGCCTGAATTACTGAACTGTTCCATTCTTTGAAGCAGTGGAGGGGGTGGGGGGAAATCACACCTGACAGGTATAAGCTGCTCCAACAAACATACCACTTTGTCTTTTATGGCAAGATCACAGTTCATTGCAGTTTACAGATAAAGCTACCTTGCAGTCAAGGTTTTAAGTTTCCTAAATTCCAAGCTTCTTTATTTCAGAGAAAATCAGCCCTTGCCTTTCTCTCAATTACCTTGTGAAAGTCCTTTTTTTTTTTTAGTGGCAAAAAAAAAAAATTGTGCTGTCTCACACTTACTAAAAGGGCTTTTCTGTAGTACATGCTTACAACAGGTAGGGTTTCTTTGACAACAAATTTTGACAATGCATACTTATTGCTGCTTTAAAAAAAAGAAAGGGGGGGGGGGGGGGGGGGGGCA